TCACGATGACTAGGCAGCTCGAAAGAGAGGGGCGAGGTCAGCAGAGCTCATTAACATTTAAAGGAAAATGCTACAAAAACGGCTTGATCTGAAAAGAGCTGTTTTTGACAGGGTAAAAAAAGGTGTTTTTACACTACCATTGAGAAATTTTAACCAAACTATGTTACAGCCTTTTCATTAAGACCCTAAAGAATCATATCAACTTGTGGAAAATGGGCATCATATGACCCCTTTAAATTACTTTTTTAATTAAAAATGTAAATAAAACTAACATAGTAAACTAATGTGAACAAATGGAACCTTGTTGTAAAATGTTACCTCCTATTTATTTATTTATTTCTATCTCAAAGGGATGTAATGCTTCATATCTTATGGATATGACTAGCCGTTTTGGTTTACTTCACTAATGTTTTATTAATAAAGTTCGAAAATCATTTTCTCATTGTCGTTTTTATGTTCTTCCAAAGCTGTGGAGGAAGCCAGACAAGAGGAAGAGCGAATCGAAACCTACAGTCTTCACTCAGCGATTTTCTTTCTCTCCTTACGCTCACACACACAGACGCATCACAGTTCTGTGGGAAAAGTAGAGCCAACCATTCAATTACCAAGGAAAAATTGTTGTACTTATGATTAATGTTTGTCCTATATTTTCTCTGGCCTTTTCGCCCTCGCCTTTTAAGACACAGATGTTGCCCAAACATAACAATTCCTTTGTGCAGAGCTGGACATTCTTTTAATGAGAAACACACACATTTCAGGCCTGAGGAAAAGGACTTTGCTCAACAAGGAATTGCAATTACCTTTTGATGGACAAGTCCAAATAACCATGCCCTGCTGAACCTCATCCCCTTAAAGTCCAAATTTCAACTTGAAGTCCAGAATGTGTGTCCCAAATAGTTAAGAAGAAGAATTTGGCGCAACACAACAGTGAAATGCCATGCGATAAATCTGAGGAGCAAAGTCTCTTGGGCTGTTTAAAGAAAACCGATAGTGAGAAACATTGTATTATCACATCTAGATTTTCAGACAAAACTGTCAAAATACTCTCCTGTTTCATGTTCATACCTCGTCGTGCATTTTATTCTCAGAGGAATCGTCAAAAAATAGATGCAGAATACCTTTAAGACTGACTGGCAATTGAATTTCATTACTATTCTCATATATAATACACTTAAAATTCTGATAGGTCTGCTTTTGTTGACAATTTAGTCTGGTCACTGTGTGTTTGGAGGCATGTTGTTGAGAGTGAGTGAAAGTATGTGTATGTGTGTTTAAATTCTCTGTCAGAGTGTTAATTTCAGAACCACACTTCATAGTCTCCTCGTTAACACTGCCTCTCCTGCATGCAGAAACAGAGTACCAAACTGAACAGTCCCCTATTGTGTATTTACAAACTTAAAAAAAAAAAAAGATGTTAATGAGGTGAGTACAGCAGAATTTTTGCTGTGTAAATTGTGTGTGGGATGCATTTGATGGACAGCTCAATGACAGATAAACCAGTCCATAAATGACTACATGCCACATTATTAACACTTTGGATCATATAATCTAAGCTTCATTTACTTTCTTAATGCACATTCCTGGTCTTGGGAACAATTCATTGGTATGTTCTTGTGGTAACACTTTTTGTAATGTAGTTTAATCTGCTAACATTAGTTAATGCATCATAAACTTCCAATGAACAACAATTTTCAAGAAAATTAACATTTTTATTGTTCATAGTTAAAGGAACAGTTGTGTCATCATGTCGTTCCAAACCAGTATGACTTACTGTCTTCTGTGGAACACTAAAGAATATATTGTGAGGAATGTTTCAACTGTTTATATGACAGAAGGGCTCCAAAAAAAACTAACAATTTTTTTTTTTTGCAAATTCAGAAAAACAGAAAACTTGCTTTTTCACAATCCTATCAATTCCCACCATTATTTTTAGCGCTGAATATCCTGTTTCCCTCATGAAAAAAGCCAATTGAAGAAGTAAAACAGTTAACAAACAGTACTTGCTGACTTGAAGAAAACTAGAAGAATCAAACTTTCATGTACCCTTTTCTCCTGTAAATAATGAAATAACACCATGTTAAAAATAAATACTTGATTACTTGTAGAATAAAACGCCTTGTGTCCTAACTATCTCCGTGAGCTATGCCAAGCCCTCTGTGCGATTATACAAACCTACGATTCACCTCAGACAAAATATTAACATTGGAAAATCTATTATGAAATATACCGGTCCTTCACAGGAATTCAACACTTTGTTTCACTCTATTAAAACCTGAATGAAGCTTTATGAAATAATACCATCTATGGATAAAGAGTTAGAGACAAAATATTGTTCTCATTCCATGTGAACAGGGACAGCGTAGGTGGTTGCAGCTAGTTTTACGATGTTCTTTATTCGCACTGACTCACTGCGTAACGCTGCCAAGGCATAACACCTGTCAAATGCTTACCAGGTGTGCGACCATTGCTCTGTTGTTTTGAATCAGTTACTAAGACCATACTATTTACACAAAGAATCTAAATGATTATTTTTATTTAGACATGACAGCTCCTGTCATTTCAACATCAGGATAGAAGACATATTAAAAAAGCCAGCTGGGAGCGCTCAATGTCTGATCATTCATCACAAAACAATAAAAGCCATGGATTCTCTGCTTACAATGACAATAACAGAGCAGTAACTGACCGAGGATATTTTTCAAATATATGATATGGCCGGCAGAACCCGAAACCATATAAGATGACAGACCTTGAAAAACAACAGACCTAAACATCTCAAACACCTCAAATCTACTTCCAGAACCGCTTGATTGCTCTTTCATACGCACCCACAGAAAACCCACTTCCAGCCACTAATAACACATTACATGGCAATTTAATAACATGGGGTTTAGGAACCATTCTGAGCTATGTTATACTTTAATAACCAGAAACGCAACATGACATTAATACTTTCACAACAAGTGGAAGTGTGCGGTGCAGGAGTAGCATTGTTAACTAAAACTAAAAACTTAAAAAATAAATAAAAAATAAAATAAATATTAGAAGTTAAGACTACACTAGAAATGCTGCCTTGGCCACTAACCGAAATAAGTTTAAATTGCTGACTGGAAATAAACAAAAACAACAACAACAAAACAGATCTAAATGGTAATATTAAAAATTAAATAAATAAAAATAATAGAAGCACATAAAATGAAAAAAAAAGAAACTAAAGTTGAAATTAAAACGGAAAATATCTTTAAAAATTTTCATTCTGATTCAAAATATTAATAAAAACTATAGCAGCATACTAAATTAACTTAATAATTATTTAATTATATTAACTAAATTAATATAATACTAAATTAACACTTGTATGTATGGAAGCAACAAAGAAAGTAGTATTTTGAGTAATTTTCCAAGTTAGTACGTGTGAGATATTGCAAAAAACAAAACAAAAAAAAAAACACTGGCAAACCTAAGGATAGACCTTCAAAAACTTGACCTAAAATTGATTGTGATTATTTACTCACCCTCATGTCATATCAAACCTGTGTGACTTTCCATCTTCCAGGGAACACAAAAGCAAAGTAAACAAAGCAAGACTACTCTTATACAGTTTTATGATACTTTTATGGTCTTTTTTTTTTTTTT